AATCAATAAGTTCATATGGAATGGTTAAAAAAAACCATGAATAACAAAAGCAATCCTTAGCAGGAAGAACAGAACTCCAACAGTGTTGGAGTAATATCAATTCCAAACTTCAAACTCTATTACAAAGCTGTAGTAATAAAACATTTTGGTACTGGCACAAGAATAAGCCTGAAGACCAATGGAATACAATAGTAAGTAAAATTTGTTAAAATACAGTCATGTCATTTGTTTACACTTGCCCATGGCTGCACTTACACTACATTGGCACAGGTGAGCAGTCGGAATAGAAATCAGCAAATCTGCATAGTTGCCACAGAGATTGTATGCAGAGCCTTAACAATCTACTATTTGGTCCTTTACAGGAAATAGTTACCCATCTCTATCTGTAGATACTTTGAGATTTATTTTCTGCCTGTCCTTGCCATCTGCTTTTCCTTAATAAGTGTAGGATTCATTCATTGTGGAACCTTTTTAATTTAATAACATCTGATGAGATATGTAAGCTTCTCCAGGCCTCTGAAGGACTACTGTCTGCTTATGCAGTCCTCTTGAATGGCAAGCTGGACTCTGCACTCTTATGCTGTATAATGTACTGCTGTGTATAACCTTTCAGGGTATGGGAGCAGGGAATAGGCTACCCAATACTTAGTCTTCAAATAGTGTTTGCTGAATGCCTTTCATTATTTCATATTTTTAGATAAGTGAGGAAAGATGCTCTTTTTACTTTTGAATGCTTAAAATAGCCTTTTCCTGTTAATAATCATTTTTAAATCTTAAGGTTTAAAGTTAAATGAGCAATGGTTGATTTTAATCAGGAATGAAAAAAAGAGTGTGTTCTAGATATATTTTGGTTTAGTTACCTGTATTCTGTTTATTCATTTCTCTTTCTTCTAATGATTAAAGTAATACATTTTTCTATTTATTTTCTTGACAGTATCACATTGTTTTATATGTTTTCTACTTGCAGCTAAGAGCAGCTTAGTGAATCAGAGTGCTATAGGAGCATATCTGAATTATTATTAATGTGAATTTTAGAAAAATGTCTAAATTATGAAACAATTGCAAAAGTGATTTTTTAACGAAGGAGTTGTAAACAGGATTAAGGTAGAATCTAACCAGAATAGCTTTTGCTTGACTTTGATGTATGTTTGCGTTTCTCTCTTCCTGTCCATACACTTTTACTTGGAATTGCCCATCACATGAATTAAGACAGAGTATGGGGTTCATAGATAAAGAAATGGCTTTGAAAACAGTATTTCTATGAAAGTAAAATTTTTATTTCTTTTATAAATTGTTTGCTTTTGAGTCCTTTTATCTTCAATATCATACCAGTTTACAGTTGATAGCTAACAGTTACATGAGTTATGTGCAAATTAAGCAAGTGACTCATTTTAACATTTTACTTTTGCAAGAGAAAGTCTTAGAGCACGTTTAGTAGCTGTGCTTCTCTTTGTTTCTGTAGAAAAGAAACAGAACTAGGGACTTGTAGCCCTTCTCTCCTGGGCCCTTCAAATATGTTAGCAAATTTGTAAGTGTAGTTACTTGTTTTTTTAGTTTTTTTCTTCTGTGACTATCTGATCACATGTTTGGAGGAAGAGAAGGAAGAGGAAGGTACAGGGACCATATGCTCTTGCCACTTTGAGGATACTGAGCTTGTGAATGATGCAGTGATTTAAAAAAAAAGGTTCTTGGCCTGTACGCAATATTTCACAGGTCCAGGCTTGAAAGGAAAAGACTGTGCTTTCTTTAGGTCCTTTTCTCCTCTTGCTGTTTTACTTTCACTGCATGTACGCTTAAGGGGAGAACAGAACAAACAAAACAAAAGCACTCACTTTTTCTCTAGCTTGTTATATTTATTATGCGTAAATATTTCTGAGGAAATTATTTTGAATGGAACCTCGACAGAAGAATGATGTGTTTATTCAGGGTCATTTCTAGGAAACTGTATGAGTTAAATAAAACTTTGACAAAGTTAAATAATACTTTTGATATAATAGGAAAACATTACAAGAGTAGAAATCATTCATCATTGCTGTCTAAAAGAACTTTCTAGGGTGTTAGAGCTAGTTGTAATCTCGGCTGTGTCTAATGCAGCAGCCACTAGCCTTTTGTAATTACTGAGCATTAAAGCATAGATCACTAGAGGAGTACAGTACTTAACTTTAAGTATTTTAATATAGTGTTTTTCTTGTTTTCAAATTGTGGACAAATGTTTAATTTTGTTCTTTCTTTTCAGGGAAATATATGCAAATGATGAACATTCTTAAGCCAATTGCCTTTGATGTTATCCATTTCATGTCTCAGCTCTTTGATTATTACTTATATGCAATATATACCTTTTTTGGGCGGAATGATTCAGTAAGTCAAACTTAAATGGAAAATCTCTTAAAATTTATTGTTCTTACAAACATAAAGCAAAGTTTTTCATTTTCTGTATAAAATATGTAGATAACATTTTGAGTATTTTCTGATTGATACAAAATTATCAGCTTTTGTCTATGTAACTGCCTTATATGTGAATTTAAGATTTGTTACAATTGTTGTATATTATTTACATGTCAGATGGAAAAGTGAAACATTTGTTTCTAATTTGACATATTTAGGCCTTGAAAAATGTACAAGTTACTGTGTTTAAATCTGGCTAAATCTGTGCAAACTAAGTTTAAATAAACTTAAGTATATTAAGTAAACAAGTATATTAAGTAAATTTAATACACAGTTAATAAGGCTTTCTAAATATTTATATTAATATATTAACTATCATTAATACATTTAGAAGATATTAACAAATGTCTATTAAAATAATTGGAGATAGTTGAACTGGCCCATCTGCTTATCACAGAATTAATGTATCCCTTATGTCTTTTTTGTATTGGGGCATTCTTAGTGAGTTTTTCTTTTTCCATTCCTAATGAAGTATCTCACAGTGTTATTCAGAAACATCTCATATTTAGAAGTTATTATGTGGCTTGCATAAATAAATAGTTCTTTATAAAAACATACTACTGGGTCATATGAATATATCATAATTCTAGTTTTTATAGCCATATTTCCATTTTGAACACATCTAAGTTTTAATGGATAGCTGATATTCATCATGTGAATTACAGATAAATACGATCACAGGTATATATGAAAACCATGGTCTTTTGCCATAGAACTGGAATTCTCTATATTCCTAATTCTGAAAAATGTTCCTTAGAGTGAAGTACTGCCACAGGACATATTATTCTGAATATAGAAGTTACCAAATCGACACTGTAAGAGGAAGACATTCAATTTCAGCTACATGTCAGAATCTTCCAGTCTTCTGGAAGAACCTTTATCTTCTGGACTCTGCCTCTAGACTGGCTCTGTCCAAGAGATTTTTCACTACATAGAAATGTTCTGTATTTGCACTACCCTGTATTGTAGCCACAAGTGATTATTTGATCTTTGAGTGGTGACTGATGTGACTTAAGAAATGAATCTTTAATTGTATCCTAATGATAGTTAATTTGTCTCTGGATCCAAATATCTACATGTGAGTAATGACTATCATGTTGAAAGAAGAGTTATAGGCAACATTATGATAAAATGTGTTAAATACGATTATTTTGAAATTTTTGAGGGCTTAAATGGTTTAAGGCATGACTTTCTAGCTGATTATGTACTGGCACAGATTTATATATAGTACTTCACTACATTCTGAGAAAGTTGGCAAAATCTAGTTAAAGATTACTGTTAAATATTTTGCATACTTTAACATTGTTTTAAACAACACATTGATATTTTATATTAAAAGTATTTTTTTATTCTATTAGACTCAGTAAGAACTATTTAATTATTGAAGCAATTAACTTTTAGATATAAAGAATTCTATCTTTAACATGGGTGCATCCCTTTGTGATGGTGCAAACTATATCTTTAGGCTCTATTATATGGATGAGCCAAAAAATGTGCAGATAAGTAAATATGTAAGAACAGCATTTTTGTTTCCTCTTACTTGTACTTTTTTTTTCTGCCAATCCTGGGTTTTGAACTCAGGGCCTGGGCACTGAGCTTCTTTTTGCTCAAGGCTAACGCTCTACCCACTTGAGCCACATTACCATTTCCAGCTTTTTCTGTGTATGTGTTACTGAGGAATCAAACCCAGGGCTTTATGCATGCTAGACAAGTCTCTACCACTAAGCCACATTCCCAGCCTTCACTTGTACTTTTTAAGCTTTTCTATTACTAAATTATATGTAGTACTTTTTCTTGGCTACAATGTGAATATTGAAAATACGCATATCTTCAAACATATCATTCAGATGCTACTATTTTCGGTCTTATAAAGCTGAATGAAATACCTAAGCAAAAACTTTGAATCTCTATGAAAGGGGTTTCTGAGTCAAGTGACTCCTCCTCAAAGAAAATCCTTGTCAGTTCACCCATTCAAGTCCCTTTGATGGGAGAAAAACATGTACAACCATGTATTTCTTCATCTCTTTCTACTCAGTATTTGATTCCTTCTCCCACTACCTAAGACTCAACAGCCAGCAGGCAATTTTGACTATGTATATATATAGTTAGTTATTTTTGTGTCTTTTCATTTATACTGCTTATAAGTTTTTTGAAATGCTTTGGCTTTTTCATAGTGAATACAGTTCTATGAATTGTTTACTGAGCTTAAGAGAAAACTTCATTTATTTTTTAAGTGAGGATTTAAACTACCTCCAGTTTGTGTATGAAAAACAATTGTACTGTCTCTACCTATCTAAAATGTCAAGATTTGTAATAATAATACTTTGTGAGGAAGAAATTTTGATGAATTCTTTCTGGTGATTTCTAAGATTGGTGCTGGTGTGAACTGTATGTGCCTATGAAGAATGGCCCTTTGGTTTCCTTTGGGGCAAAGATTTGACTACTTTGCTTGATATGCTGGCATTTTCTTTTTAGTTTTTACATCAACTGTATTCTCAGAGCCAACCTGCATGAGTTAACTAACCTACCCTGTCATTGCCAACTATTGTAGGAATCATATTCCTTCTTACATGTACCAAATTTACATTCAACAATGAATTCTGGGTTGCAAAAGGATTTACTGTTTGCACCTATGTGTAAGGTTTTGTTACAGATTAAACCAAGAGACACACACAAGTGCTACATGCTGTAATTTTTTAATGTAGTTTGAAAAATCTCTGAAAATTGAGCAGTTTATTTTCACCTGACAAAAACTCATCAGATACTTTGGTACGTTGGAAGATTTATCATTTGCAAGATTATTCAGAGTAACATGCTTTTCTCTACCCTCCCCCATTATCCCCCCCCCTGCCCCCCCCCACCCCCCAGTTAGAATCAACAGGACTCGGTCTTAGCAGTAGTCGATTAAGAACAACTCTGAACAGGATACAAGAGAGCCTTATTGACCTGGTAAGTGATGAATTGAAATTAATTCATTTGAATTGTATAAAATAGAAGTTAGCATCTAATCAACTCTGTATATGTGCATCTATATATCTTTGGAGTACTTGTGCCCATTAGTATTAAATGTAGGAGGTAAAACAGGTTGTGCATAGTCTCACAGATCTTTTGTGATTGGGCACCGTGAAATTCCCTGAGGAAGTTTGGATTTAGTTTACTATGTAGTAAGGAGTCCCAGTTCTTGACTCTAGTCACATGATGAAATTCATGTGTTAAGATTGATAGCAGCGCGAACCTAATGAATATATTTTTAAATTTTTATTGTAAAGATGCTGTACAGAGGGGTTACAGTTACATGAGTAAGGCAGTGAGTACATTACTTGTCGATCATTGTTACCCCTTCCCTTGTTGTTCTCCCACTATCCCTTCCCTCCTGCACTCACCCTCCCCCTCCCCCCCCCACCTGAAGTTGTAAAGTTCATTTCCAGGTATCATTATTGCACTGGGTCATCCTGTGTCCTTGTTTTACCATTTTATTTCCCTTCCCCAGATTAGACAGATGTATATACAAGATCAAGTACAGTGACAACAGAGGATATACCATACCATAGAGGGAAGAACATACAAAGGAAACAAAAAAAAATCACAAAGTACATTTAAAACAACAACAACAAAGACAGGCCTCTTGTGTCCATATCTTGGGGTTCATTTCACTTAGCATCATTTTATGTGGTCATATATACATAGATTTTGAGCTTTTTAGCTCATCTGATAAGATTAACCTATATGTATACTAATTGTTGTAAATAAGGGAAACCATGGGACCTAAATTTCTTTGGGACTGGCTTACTTCACTTAATATGAGATTCCACCTCACCCCAGTTAGAACGGTTATAATCAAGAAATCTAGATGTTGGAGGGGATGTGGCCAAAAGGGAACCTTACTGCATTGTTAGTGGGAGTGGAAACTTGTTCAACCACTCTGGAAAGCGGTATGGAGGTTCCTCAAAAGACTCCACATAGAGCTCCCCTATGACCCAGCAATCCCACTTTGGGCATTTACCCAAATGAAAACAAACAAGGCTATACTAAAGCTACTAGCACAACTATGCTTATCACAGCATTATTCACCAGAGCTAAGATATGGAACCACCCAGATTCCCCTCAGTAGATGAATTAATCAAGAAAATGTGGTGTACACACACACACACACACACACACACACACACACACACACACGCACACACACACAGGAATTCTATGCTTCCATCAGAAAGAATGACACCACCACACACACACATAAACACACACACATACACACACACTGGAATTCTATGCTTCCATCAGAAAGAATGACACCAACACACACACACACACACACACACACACACACACACACACACACACACTGGAATTCTGTGCCTCCATCAGAAAGAATGACACCACCCCATTTGTAAGGAAATGGAAAGAGTTGGAAAAAATCATATTAAGCAAAGGTTGTTTTTAAGAATATGAATAAGAAAAGAAAATTCTGTGGTTGGTTGTTATAGTGACAAATTTGTTTCTCTGGACACATTTCTGTAGCTACATTAGCCCTAGGCCTCTCTGGATTCTTCTTTATTTCTTCAATCTGCTCCAATTCTTTTTATCATAGTGTCTGACTCTTTTCATAATGTCTACATTGTCTGTATGGTTATGCTATTGAACGTTTTAGAAAGCAATATCATTCATTCTTTTCAGAAATACTTACTAGCTAGACATCATCAAGAGTTAAAGGCCTGCCTGAGCTATATAGTAAGAAGACCAACCTCTTCTCAATCAAAAAGAAAAAATAATCTTACTGAAATAATTGTTGCTAAGAATCTATATCAATGAATAGAAGAGATCATTTCTATCTCTTCATCTTAGAACTCATATTTTGTTGGATCCAAAAGACAAATATATATAGCATGAGGAACTGATAACTGCTAAGATGAGAGTAAAGCTGAGCATGATGGAATGGTAATGCTTGAGCAAAATGTGCATAAGTGATACTGAGGCATGTGTTGATGTTGTAGGTGAACACTGAGCAGGGGAATAAGCAGTGTCCATCTCTACTATCCTTTGACTATTCTTTCTTTTCTTTTTTTCTTTTTTCTTTTTTGTCAGTCATGGGGCTTGAACTCTGGGCCTGGGTGCTGTCCCTCAGCTCCTCAGTTCAAGGCTAGCACTCTCCCACTTGAGCCACAGTGCCACTTCTGGTTTTCTGGTGGTTTATTGGAGATAAGAGTCTCACAGACTTTCCTGCCCGGGCTGGCTTTGAACTGTGATCCTCAGATCTCAGCCTCCTGAATAGCTAGGATTACAGGCATGAGCCACCAGTTCCCAGCTCCTTTGACTATTCTTGATCCAGTATTTCTTTTTCAGAATACAATTTTTCCTTTAGTGTCTCTGGGGCATTAGTTTTAGGAATCTCCCAATGTGCACATAATCCAGTCCCATGTAGACTCAAGTCCCTTATGTAAAATATCATATTTCTGTACAACCTTTACAAATTTTCCTATATACACTAAATCATCTTCAGATTAAATTACCTAGTGTAATGTAAATGCTCTGTAAATAACCGCTACATTATGTTGTTTAGAGAATAATGGCAGAATGTCTATTCATGTTCTATACAGGTGCTTCTTTTCTTTCAAATATTTTTTATCTCGAATTGTGAATATGGAGGAGGGCTGACTACGTAGTCATAGCAGTCTTCTTCACACATTTCTCTAATACAGATTTTTAGAATAAATGAATAAACTATATTCTCTGGTTTTCATGTTGTCTGTTTTTAAAAATCCATTGGCTTTCAGCCCATTGGAAGTTTCTTGTGTTTGATTTGGACTTCTTTGTTATCAATGCTTAGCATAGCTCTGACCATCAGATCTTGTTCTACAGCTTAGTCCACAGCTGAGGTTTCCTTCACTGTTGCTTTTTTTTTTTTTTGGTCATCTCTGCTAGTTACTGGCTTAGGATTTTCAAGCCATACACAGAAAGTTGGCTTGTAAGGTTTGGGCTTATGCTTCAGGTTTTGTCACATGTGTATATTAGAACAAAATGGTATCAAACTAGCTCTTCTTCCAGACAGCTGCGTCCATCCCCTGATAATAAATGTCTATGACATTTGCCTGACTTCTGTGATCATGGGATAACTTAGAGGTATACATTTACAAACTAACTGTACCTTATTCCAATACATAAATATGCCTATGTTGTTATACAGTCAGTTTTGGCACATTATTTTTTTAAAACTTTCCTTTCTTTACGTTCTTATCGTCTCTTGAATCAGAAGATTTCCCACTGGATGAGAAACCTATGTGCACTGTGGTCCTCCCTCTGTTAGTCTGGAGTACTGCCTTTTGATAGAGTTTCTCCAGTGTCCTTGCCTCTGTGGGTGATACAACTCTACACAATCCAGTTGAAATTTCCTCAACAGTTTCCATTTATGTTTTTTGTTTATTTATCTGTTCTATGTTTTCATACTGTGAAGTGTTGACTTATTTTTTTGATGATACTTGTTATTTCCTGGACCTTGATCTCAGATCTTTTTAAGTTGGCATATTAGTTATCTTCATCAGTTTCATTTCTACACTGGCAGAAAATTAACTGATTTCTTACTTTCTTTTGATAGTAAAATAATTGATAGCTTAATTAATAGGGAATCAATAAGGAAAAAGTAATATTTTTTCTTGTATATTTTTCTTACATGTCATTTAAGATCTTAGTAAACTTTTTTTCATAGTTTATTTCTTCCATAGATACTATCTGATTTTTTTAACTGTTCTTCAAGTTGTAAAAGTCAAAATAGAAGGATTGTGTTCTTAAAAAGGACACCTAAAATAATTTCTCATGCAAGTTCAATATAGGAAATTTTGTTTAGCATATCAAAAAAATGTGCAACAAATGAAATGGATCTGTAGAAAAGATAGGAAAAGCAGTTGGTGTAGGTGATGATTGCACCAGAACTGTAACTTACTAACTTTATCCATTTGGTGATGCTAACTAAATTATTTAAGATCTTTGAACTCTGGCCTACTTTGAATTTTTTTGCTTGGTTTTTCTTCATTTTTTGTGACAGTGTCTCACTGTGTGGTCCAGGCTGGCCACAATCTGGCAATCTTTCTGCCTCAGCCTTCCTACTGCTGGGATTACAACCATGTGCAGCTTGAATCTTTGGTAATAAAAAATATTTTAAATTTGTCCACAAAAATCTACAACTATAAACACTTTTGTAGTAATACATTAATGTCAGGAAAAGGCTAACCAAATGTGTCTTTTTGTAACACTAAAGATTAAGATTTCATTTCTCAGTTGCTAAAAGAAGTTGTATCTTCTTTTATTCTTTGGGTTGTAATACATTGAAACAGGGATCCAGTTTAGGAGTTTTTCCACCTAAATGCACAATAAGTACTTACCATTTATTTATGTCAGCCTGACATTTTTTTATTCACTTTTGCTCACTTCTTTTCCTTAAATGTAAACACTGACCTTTAGCCTTCCAGCAAATAATTACCATAATTTTTGTTCCTAAACTTCAAGTGGTAACTGGGAACAAAGGACTCCATTGTAATGAAAACCTTTGGGACTTGAGCAGCAATTGGAGATTGCTGAGTGTTTTTATAAAAGAGCTCTGTAAGTTAAGGGGGAACTCAACATTATATAGAAAGTACTAAGGTCATAGGTAAGTGCTTTGGGGCTTTCCTGTTGTTCTTAAAAA